TGACCTCCGTCGTCGCCGGCTATTATGTTCGAGGTCTGTCCAACTTTGCTGCTGATAGCTCGCTGATGCCACCAGCTAGCTACTCTGCTCCCTTTTCCAACTCCGATTTTATGTAATCTCCTATTTACTTTCCTTTTTTTCCCCCCCACAAACGGACGTTTTCCACGAATGAAACTTGTAAATAATTTCCGACCGAAGATTATTCCGGGAATAATCGAACGGCAATCGGAAAGAGGAGCTTAAAATTCACGAACGATCGGTGATTTTCATGATAATAAATTAATTTCTTAACCATTCATAACCCGATTTTTCTTCGTTCGGGAGAGCCGATTAGAATTTTGACGGAAGAAGCGAGAATTAATATCTCTTATAAAGATAATCGAATAATTCGTAAGACAGATTTTTAAATTCGTGAATAATTGGTGATTTTGATTATAATAAATGAATTTCTTAATCACCTAAGAACCCGATTTTTCTTCGTTCGTCAGAGAAATGTTATAGCTGATTAGAATTTTGATGGAGGAAGCGAGAATTAATATCTATCGCGAAGAAATTGGCTGGTAGAAATGCAATAGTATAGCAATACACAAATAAAGTGAAATTTGTGAAATATAGTAACTTTCTTAAGTTATTATTTTTCAGCGCAGAATTACGCGAAATCTGTCACTGCGAGTGCTAATAAAAAAAAATTAACAAAAATATAAATCATTAAATAATAATAATAAAGCATTAAAAAAGATACGAATCTATTGCTACGAACGCTAATAAATCCCATTGAAAACAATAAACCGTTTAAAACATATTTCGAAACTTCAAAGTGGCCCAAATTTACGTAACTACGAAAACGAGAAGAATCATCGAACAATCCCATGCAATCACAAGCTCTTCACACTCTACGTCGAACAGTTCACCTTCGATCGCTCGAAATTCCGAAAAACAGCGTGTCGAAACGACCAATAAAAACGCTCGAAAACAGCTTCGAAACGCCATAAACCTGTCGAAGTCGCTCGTCAAGAGACTTACGGACACGAGTGATCACGAAGTAGTCCACAGAGAGAGTCGTACGGCCGAAAAATCGTTGGCCAGTGGGGACGGTGACGGCAAGGAGACACGGGGAGAGACGTGTCCGTATCGTCTATCCTCGGCGTATTCTAATTGAAAGCGGGCCGGACGTGGCCGCGAGACAAGGACAAAGGAATAAACGGGCGAGGACACGGTAGACGAAAGAAAGAATGAAAGAAGGAGAAAGAGAGACAGAGAGGAGGAAAAAAGCAATCGGCTTTCAGTGTAAGAGAAGGTCGACACGGTGGATGCGAGGGACAGGGTCAGTGCTCGTAATAGCGCTGCCATAAAATCATGAAAATAAATTATTGCGTAGATGATGGTGGACGTTAACTCTCGGTCTCGTGACACCGTCGTCGTTGTTGCTCCGTTAAGCCTGTCGAGTGGCTGTCGCGCACAGAACCGGAGAAAGTTGCCGTTTATGCGTTTATGAAGCAGCAATAAACGCCCAATAAGACGAAAGCAAAAGGAGAAAAAAAGCGTCGGTGCGTTTACGAGGCCGGTAGACTGAGCGAATGCCTCTTTCCAATGGTCGAAAGGGTTGCGATACTGCGAAGGGCGAAGGGGGAGAAAAGGGTTAGAGGGACAGTGTTTAGGTTTCCAGCTTATATTGTGACCGCCGACCCTTTTCCCAGGTTTTTCGGGAAAATATCGAGTTTCCGAGAGCCGGAGCACGGAGTTGTGGGGATTTCGGCTCGACAATGGGAGATACTTCCGGTTCCTACGGAAGACGCACCCTTTTCAACGTTTGCGAGGCCTGGTAATCGAGAACCAGGGGGGAAGTTAGTGCTCTATTTTTCGTCAATTTGTAAAATTGCCAGTTTCATAGCGAGATTCGGAAAAATTCACGTTCGACGGTGTGTAAAGTAAAGCTGTAATAAATTCCTCGAACAAAGACACCTCTTCTTAATTCTTTCGAATGAAATTTTAACACCTCGCTTTGTAACACCGAATCGTACTCGTGGTTGTAGGTCATGGTTAAGATACCACAAAAGTGAGTTCTGTCTGCGATCAACTTTCGTTTTAACTCTAGCTTCAGCTTTCATTTATAAGTCTGAGAGTTGTTAATTAGAAAGCACGCGTAATTTTGCAATCTTTTTCATTCAACGTGCTATTAACACGTTCGTCGCGACGTCAGCCATATCTGGGTGACGGGTATGCTTCCGTGGGGGCCCTTCTTCGTCAAGTTAAATAGGATTTCACAAGTAATTTATAAAAATCCATATAACACAAGAATTTAGTGGAATATCACACTATATTATACTATACAGTAATTTCTATTTTCCAGCTAATCGCTCTGTTTACGTTCTTGCGCTCCGACTATCGGATTTGGGCCCCGCGAGAAACTCGACCGATTCACGCTGGGCGACGAACGTGTTAAAGCGACGAGTGCCTAGCATTAAACGTGATAGCCGTTTAAAAATCGCGAGGCAAGGAGTTAACTGGTTTTCGAAGGTTTTATTTTTAAGGAGTTACTGGTATCTGTCGTTATTTTCACGAATATTTGCAATTCGTTGAAATATTACCTGACAACTGAGATTTTTACCATAATCATAAATATTAGTTTTCCGAATTTACTACTGTCGTGTACATAACAGTAATAATTACTACAATACAAGAAGCATCTCACGTAACAACGCAACACTTTCTCCCGTTTAATCAAAAATCAACAATCCTCTTCCTCCGAAAGGAGGCCAAACGTACAATGAGATCCACTCTCGACTCGCAACAATATTACGCTTCATTACCGATTATCATAAGAAGGAAGAGAGAGAGAGAGACCAGTTCGAACCAGGCACTCTCATCGTGGAACGCGTGGGTGGTCGTCATTGGACAGGTGGCAGAGTGATACTAGACCGCGTGGGTGGCTGCACAATGCAGCTCGAGGGCGATCAGTGCGCGATAAATCGCGGAGGTGCACCGCGTACAATTAATCGCCTATGGTTTATCCAAGTATTCCACTAACGAGGCGAAATCAACGCCAACACGTACACGTTCGGACGTCGTTCACAGTCGACGAGTGAAAATCGAGCGTTCCGCTTGCGAGTCACTTGATCAGCGGTAAGTCGATCCGAGTGCAGCCGTAAAATTCCACAAGCGATGGCCTAGTTACCGGGGGACGTTAAAACGAACGACAAACACCGGTATATACGAAATCTCGAGACAATTCACCGCGTAACGACAGCAGCCTCAGGTTCATCGAACCTCTATCACGTTTTTTGCCCACGAGCAGGCACGTGCCTATCGTCCTTTGAATCGACACCTCTTGTCTGGAATTCTGTATCAGCTCGTGGAACGATTTCGTGTATGTAGGTGGTCAGGAAATCCCTATGAGACTCTTCCCTCTGACGTAGAATGGGATACGAGGGAACAGGTTAGATGTGCAAATTTATGGTGAATAGAGGGTGGGCGTGAATGAAACAATATAGGAGGGAGAGTACACGGGCAATTCGCCTTAATGAATGAATCCTTGGCTACGTATATACGTCATCTTGTACGAAGACCAGTCGATATATCCCATTGTATACCTGAGACAGCCTGTACAAATACGGAAAACCCATTACGCTCGGAAAAAGCTACCTGAACCGAGCCACCTTTCACCCTCTATCGCTAAAAGAGCACACTCCCGTCAAGAAGCACCAACAAACTCCAGAGAAGAAGAAAGAAAAAGAGGAGCGTCTCGTAAAATCGAGAAGAGACGAAAAGAAGAAGAAGAAAAAATATGAAAAGAATCACACGATCTCGAAGGAAGAGAGAAAAAGGAGGCGAAATATCAGGATTGAAACGGGATAAAAGATCGCGGAGGATCAAGCGCTACGCTGGAACAAAGACAGAGAAGCGAGAAGGTAGAAGAGGAGAGGCCGAGAGGAAGCCGGCAAGGTTAGAGGGAGACGAGGAAAGGCAGAAGGCGAAACGACAGCTACGGTCTCTCGCGGTTGGCTCGAGCGAGAGGGCGCATGGCCTTGGCCGCTGCTGCGGGGTAATTCAGTCAAGGTTTCGGCCGATGAACTTCCTCCGATGGGAGGAAGGAGAGCCGGCCGGCAGAGGTCCGCGAGCGTAGTGGGGATAGGTGACGGCCAATCACAGCGGCACGCGGCCCAGCGAGCAGCCAGCGGATTGGTTGGGCCCGTGACGCCGGTGCCCGGGCCCGCAGCCGCTTGTCAGTGACCTCCAGCATTGAAAATACGATGAACTCTCTCGGGGGGCTCTGTAAGAGCGCACCGGTGCGCTGTGTGTCCTCTACTACATACTAGGTAGCCAGGGCGTAGACATTGTAGATGGTCGAGGCAGCCTGGCAAGCAAGCAGCCACATCAATCCCTCCCCTCCATACCGGCGTCGCTCCGAGTAAGGGCTGCACGGCCCCCAGGTAACCAACACTCGGCAGCGCCGAACTCCAGTCAGACCAACGCGAACCTCCCTCGAGCGAACACTTACTTTCACTCTCTCTTCTGCCTTCCATCCGTGCGCTCTTTCGCTCCGGTTCCTTCCTCGTCTTGTCGCGTGCACCCGGTCTTCTTCCTCTGTTCACGGTGTTATAACACGGACGAGGTGTCCATCGGTCGCCACAGAACGCACCTGCCCTTCGTTTCGGTAGGAGCTCTCTGAAAACAGTTCTCTCCGAAAGTGTGATCCGATAATTTTTTCTTTTCGTTATCATTGTCACGTGATCGAGGTAACGAGAAACTGAGAGATTCGGGCAGAGAAACGGAGAGGAGGGATATACAGGTTTCTTTTTCCTTTCTTTCTTCATTTTCATTGGTGATGTCGAGGAAAAGTGAATTGAGTGATTATTATAGTCAGTGATTGGAAACCGAGGGAACATAGAGAGTGGACTGATGTCGGTCCTCAGCTCAGTGCAGTGCCGTGTCAAGTGGATGATAAATCGAAGAACCTAAGATACTCGATTGGATTCCACGTGTTACCATTTGCAACAAACATGATCCTGACGCCGGATAGCAGCGCACAGACCACGATGACAATCTCACCGGCACCGGAATCGCCGATCTCGAGCATGTCGTCGCATGGATTGCGCGCGTCCAGCGTGTCGCGCATGTCTTGCGTCTCACAGGGCATGTCCAGTCCTTATCACGTGGCTCAGTTACCGCATCATCTCAGCCCGAACATGCCCACCATGGACTCTACTGTTTCATCGGCTAAACCTGAACCCGAATTGAACATAGGTACGATCCGGGATTGCTATTCCAAAAGAAAAGAACATCTAAATAAGAAAAATCCCTATTGGAAAAAATGAAAGAACCGACGTGTTTACATTTGTCAAACGTGTTCTAGAAATAAGAGATATAACATAGATCGCGAGTTAGGTTTAAATATCGTATGCAATGGGACCTCTCTATTCGTTGGATCCCATGGAACTGAAAAACGATCACGCGCCGTGACAGTCGAGTGAAAGCAGAAAGTTGTAACACACCGATGCTGTAACCCGCCGCGAGAGAGGAGAAAGTGTTCTTCTTTCTCTCCCACCTTTCTCTTAGCAGACGCGCGCTCTCCGCCACGTGGAGAGCAACGTGAACCCGACACCACGTTATACACATACGTATATACATATATACTATATCGGCACACAGGCTATATCGTGCATCGCCAAGTGAACCAAAAGTGTAATCAATGCCAATTTTTTTCCTTCTCTTCTCTTGCAGAATTCGACGGGACCACAGTATTGTGCCGTGTCTGCGGAGACAAGGCGTCCGGTTTTCACTATGGGGTACACTCCTGCGAGGGATGCAAGGTGAGCGGAAACACGAACTACGATATACGATACGCAATATTCGTTCGACGTGTTTGGATCCGTTTTCAAATTTTCTGCTTGCTCGATTAAATTTCTACGCGGAATGTCTCCTTTTTTCTCTCTTGCAATAATTCGGATCTGGACAAACGTTTCGACACGAATATACAATCGGACGATTATTTCACGCTCCTCCGATATTTTCTCTTCAAATTCGTCTTTCGTGTGACAAATATACATCTATCCATCGTTTGGAAATTCGCAAAGGAATTTTAACGTGGAACGAAATTGTTCGGTGAAGAGGTATCGAAAATGTCGAGGGAGCCGTGACGTGATGTGGCCAGGAAGTGAACGGAGCTTGAATGTGAATGTACGATGCGACCAAGGCTACGGAGAAGCTATCGACCGAGCGCCGTCCGACCTTGTACACGCGGAAATCGCGAGAGAGACGTTCGAACTGGTCCTTGACGTTGCCTCCTCCATCGGGCAGCCTCTCCGCGTGCACGAAAAATCTTGCCAAGGTCTCTTTTCTTAACCGACCAGTCCGCCGCCGCGCAGAACTTGTATCGAACGGTCAGCGGAATGACATTCGGAATATTTCGAATTGACGACGAATACGACCGAGATCGAGCATATATTACGGAAATTATTCCAAGTGAAATGAAAATCAATTTTTCATTGCCAAACCAAAAAAAGGTGAAATAGATTTGGAAGTAACTTTCGAAACGCGTCTGCCGGATACGCGGTCACTTGACGATCAGATTTTCCAGGAAGGTCGGTGCCTTGGACAATAGCTTCGCGGGCGGTTACGCAAAAGGAGCGGAAAATGTGGCGAAATTCTTTGTGAAACGATAACCTACAAGCCGGGATGGGAACGCGGGTGAGAAGGGTCTGTACAGGTAGACGACCGTGTCTCCTTTCGTTAAAGACAGTTTTGTGTCGGTGGTTTTCGTGTGGCCGAGCTTTAGGGCAGGTATGTGCAACGTAAAGAATGCACATCCGCTCATGCAACTTCCTGTCCGGCTTCTTCCTTTTTTTCTTCTATTCTTTCCTCTCGAATCGACTTGTCTCTCACTCTCTGCCTCAGCTATTCATTCTGGACGAAAAGAGACGTTCGATTTTTTTCGAAAAGGTTCATTTGAAAATTCCCGCGGAAAATGAGTCATTTCCAGGATAGAACTGTGTTAACGTGGAATTCCCCTGGCGAAAGAAGCGTTCTTTCCCCGCGAAACCTCGAATCGAATGTAAATCGTTTCCCTCGAGACTGATAATTACGCCTCGCGAAGGCCAACGTCCTCGTGCTCGTCATTGTGCGACTTCAAGGAGGCGCTTGGTAGGGGCAGCACAGGCCGCGAATTCGTTTTAGGAAGTGGCAGCACGCTACCCTCACCCGCGTCCCCTTACCACCTCCACCTCGCTCGAGGAGTCATAGTGGGGGTTACTCCGCCAGGTGTTGTGAATCAGTGCTGCGGTGCTCGCAGATCATCTTCGTCCGTCGACCTGATAACATCGTCCTCGTCTCGTATATATCTAACATAAATCTCAATCTCTGATACAGTAAAAAACGATCTCCGATGATAAATCGATCTTTTTTCACCCGAGCTAATCTGTTTGTCAGAGAAATCAATGAATATTATAGTAGTTCTACGAGCAAGGGGAGTTTAAGCTTCTTTCTTAGCGGGCATGACTTCTTCCCGGGATAATCTGTTCATCCCAGACTACCCGTAGAGACACCCCAGGGGTCATTGGTCCCTCGTCCAGACGAAAAGAAAGAGAGAGTGGCCCGGCTGGTCAGCCGAAAAGCCAAAGAGATGATGGCGGCGGACCGCGTGTACGGGAAAGAGAAAGTGTCGTGCCCGTTTTTAACCCCCGCCGGTTGCAGCGGTCCGGAACAAGCGTGTTTCCGATCCCCCTTAGGCCGATTCTTCGAAACGAGAGAACTGGATCGACCGGCGTTCCTTGCCGATTCATATCTCGATGAAGATTTTTCTGTCTAGGCTCCCCCACCCTACAGGGGAGATCCTCGATGTACAAGCGTAGAATAAAGAAAGAGAGATAGATAGGGAGGGAGAGAGAAAGACCCTCGAGCCTGGGTTGACTGGGTCAGTAACTTATGGCTGTAGGCGTAACACAGCCGCTGCTTTATGGCGAACGAGTCGACGTCGAGTGACCTAGCCGCTAGCGGTAGAGACCGTCTTATGGGTACTGGAACACTGCGAGGGAGCCGCGGTGGTGGAAAGGGAAGAGAACGCGGAAGAGTGTTGGATATCTTTAAGACTAGGTCGCTCGGTCGCGCTGCTGTTGCACTATTTCGCCATACCGCTGGCCACAAGCTACTTTTCCCCGGCCCCTGCGTGTCGATTCGCTCCAGCCCCGCGCAGGTTCACGAGATTTGGCTGGATTTGCCTGGTTTAGGGCCGTGGGAAGATAGCGTGTACGTATATAGAGAAAGAGGATTTAAAGGATCGAGATTTCCTTTTTTTGTTTTTTGTTTTTTTTTCTTTCTTTTCACGTAGAATATATATTTATCGGGTGGGGGACTGGTGACGAATAGGTTGGATCGAGAGAGTACAAACGGGTGTAAATAGGTTAGGTTTTTCGGGATGGAAAAAGTGACGGGAAGATGGCGGCGAACGTGTGCGGCTCGCACTGGCCCAGATCTCGCTAGGACGTTGCCCCCCACGACACTTTTCGTGCACGCGTCACTGACCTGGGCTCAGTTTTACGGCACGAGAGATTCGCGGCGGCGCAATCAGCGCGCGCGGCCCGCGATAAAGCCGCGATAAAAGGCACGGCATTCAGGCGACGGCCGAGTATAACCGGTCCGATTCACGAAACGCTCATCCGAATCTGATCTCCACGCTCTCCTTGTAATATATCATTCTACACACTTGTCCCTCTAATCCACTTCTTCCCTTATATTTCAGTGTCCACCGCTGGAACACTTTTACCCCTTTCAACCACCAACTCACCCTTCTCCACGAGTTCAATCGTTTTCGTTCGTTCCAATTGACGAAAACTCCCTATTCTTCTTGCAGTAGGTACATATATATTTTGCTCTTCAAAATTATCCACAGGGTGTCGAATTAACGAACGAATAACGAAAGGACGAAAATGTCGCTCGTAGTACCGTATACGCCAAATAGAGGCTGCTTCCAGTTTTTATTTTCGCGTCGACGTTCCTCTTTAAATCTCCCCGGCGGGACAATCAGCGGTGGAGGTGCACGCCGACTCTTTATCCGGAGGGTTGAAACCAGGCGACCGGTGCATTAACCCTCCGGTCGTCGACCCCCGAGCCAGTTACGTCACACGCTTGTTCCCTACTCCCCCTCCCCGGCCAGTGTACCCCCTCCATCGTTAGCTGGCTGCCCCCTTCCCGCGCTCGCTCACCGATTTCCCCTCTATACTCCCTCCTCTCCCCACCATCCCGTGACTCTGCTGCTGCTGCACCTCTCCTCCTCCACCACCTCCTCCTCCTCCTCCTCCTCCTCCTCCTCCTCCTCCTCCTCCTCCTCCTCCTCCTCCTCCTCCTCCTCCTCCTCCTCCTCCTCCTCCTCCTCCTCCTCCTCCTCCTCCTCCTCCTCCTCCTCCTCCTCTCTTCTCCTCCCTCTCGGCTAACCGTCATTTTTGATGTCGTAACGAGTCGTGATCTCATTTTCATTTGATTGCGCGGGTATTTCGGTGCTCGGTTGGGGTTACTGACCCCAGTGCATCTACTTTAGAATCGGGTCAGCCGCTTATTATCGTGGTAGGTGTTCGCTCGACGCGGTATCTCCGGCCGGCCGGAGCGGCAGCGCGCTTCAAGATAACGCCGCCGCCCCGCCGCGCGGCCGCCCGCGCGCGGAATCGAACGTCACGCTCCTCTACGCCCGATAAAGCCACCCCGTGAAACACGACACCCCAAGCTCTCTCCTCGAACGTTGTTCGCCTCTCGTCCTGTGTTTCCTCTCATTTCCCGAGTCACCGCGCGATTTTCGGGGGATTTTCGAACGTTCAGCTGATCGCCAGGGTTGAAGAGAGAATGTTGACGGGGAATGGTAGATTTTTAGTTGGTATTTTCTTTAGATACGTAAGGGAAGTTTGGACAAGTTTTAACAGATTTAACGATAGTTAATTTTCAAGTTTCATAGGTGCTTGCATTTTTTGAGATTTCGGGTTGAAGTAATTCGTATGGTTTTTTTCGATCGATGGGTTGTATTGGAATTGAGAATTTGTCGTGCTTCTTCGACTGTCTCGCGATACTTCAACGCAGACTTAATAAGCCAGCAATTGAAATCTAGTTGATTTGCTGTCCTT